CATCTTTTCACTACCAGGAGCCCCTTCTTAACAAGGGCTTTGGCCTTAAGCCTAAGGAGTGGGCAGTGGAGAGCTGTGCCCAAGGCCAGGGAAAGAGCCCTTTCAGGGCAGCAGGGTCTTTACCGCTTGAGGACATCTGAGCACAGGCCCGTGAGTCGCACTGCGTATCTTTGGGGCCTGACCAGGTGGTGACGGAGGGAGGTACTATGCACATAAATCTCAGCTCTGAGGGCCACGTGTGAAGGGCTCCGTGCAGACCCCAGAGGTGAGTGCACCGCTGGCCTTGAACCTAAGCAGGTGGGCAGTGGATCTCTGTCCTGATGCTTGGTGCCCTCTTCTGTTTATCCCTCTTCTTTCTACCTCATCTTTCTGCTGCGTCTACACCGCATGCCGTCCTCTCGGGAGTCTATCTGGAGCTGATCCCAGCAGCAGTCTCCTGGAGCCCGGCTGCCCTGGCATGGTTCACAGGACAGTGTAGTGGGGCAGACTTGTGCTTCCGTGTCCGGTCCCGGAAAGGTGGCACTGGACAGCACACAACTGGGTGGGCCCCTACCCTCCTGGCTGCTTGACCGGCTGCCTGAGGCTGGCCGGCAGAGAGCACTAGAGAAACGAGTGATTAATGGGCACCTCATCTGATCTCTTGCCAGGGGAAACGAAGGGCCGGCAGTGGCCAGGAGCTGGCAGTGGCTGTGGCCAGGAGCCGCCTTGACCTGCTCCAGGTGGGCTGGAATGCACCCAGCTTGCCAGGGATTAAGGCTTGAGAGACAAGAGGAAATGAGATGTTAACCCTTTAGGCCTGGCCCCCAGCCCCACCAGGGGACTCATCCACAGGCATCCGAGGAGAGGGAAGCATCGCCGTGATTTATAGCAGCGACTGGCAGTGACAGCCACGTGGTCACCGCTGGGGGTGGTCAGGAGCAGGGGGTGTGACTTAAGCATTTTTCTTAGAGGCATGGACAGGAAAGAGGGAGAAGGAGATGAATTTCTCGTGCCAGTGGAAAATGGGACTTCCGGGAAGCTGCCCCACCTGCTTCCTTCCCAGAAGCCCTCCGATCACATCAGAAAGGTGTCGGTTTCAAGCATACTTTCACCCCTCGACATGTGGCTTCCCCAACTGCAGCTTGGAAGGAAGATAAACAGACTGTTTTAGTCCGAGCTCGGGCAGCCTGGCCTCTCTGTGGTGACATGCAGGTGACAGGTCCCTGGAGCCAGCCCCTGGAGTGCTAACCCAGGACCAGCAAGGCTGTGCCAGGTCCTTAACCGCTATGCTGTAGAATGGTGACTGGGTGAGAATAATGTCTGCCCCGGTGAGACTCAGTAGGGTGTAAAATGTTTAAAACAGACCGGGGCCCGCGGCGGTGCCAGTTGAATGCTGTCTGTCTTTTCTTGTCTGTCCGGTTGAATTGCGACCATCTCTTTGAGAAGGATGCAAACAGCTCCTCCCCCAGGCTTACTTTGGGTGGATCCGAAACTTGCTCTTGATTGATCTTCCTGGTTTGACCCCTGCCCCTACATGCCTTGAATTTTGGCCCCTCCCTCTGCTGCTGGCTCCCTGGCCTCCTGCTGCCCTTTTGATTCCACCACCTTGCCCCCTGCCTCCGTGCCAGATGGGCAGACTGCTGAGGGCTGGGGGTGTGGGGGAAGATGGTGACAACTGCCAGGACCTCAGGTGGAACCGGTCAGTGCTGCTCCAGTTCTGCTCACAGGGAAGCTTTGCTGTGCGCCAGTGAGCCCAAGTGCTGGATTCAAGGACAGAGAAAACTGTGCAAGTGGGAGCCCTGGAGACCCTGGGGCCCAGGGACCAAATCCACGCCCTGCCTGTTCCTGGCTTCTCTGAGCTCCCATCACAGCACCCTTGGTGTCACTACCCTCCGTAGGGCTGGTAAGATTCACCGTTTCCTATCATTGACAGGAAGTGGGGACCCCACAGTGGGCAAGGAGGCCCTGTGAGACTAAGCAGAAAGCTTATTTATTAGTGGTTACAAGGTGATCCCTGGGTAGAGGTGTGACTTAACTTTTGAAATGCTGTTGCAGGGTACGTGCTGATGCTATCACTTTTGGCATCATTTCCTGTCTTTTCCCGACAGGTGCCTGGCCTCCTTGACTTTAGTGATGCTTCAGATGAGCCTTTTTGGGGGCTTGAAGTTCAGAGGCCAGCTAAGGAGGAGCTGCCGTTCATGGAGCTCTTATCAAGTACAGGGCTTTACCTGGGTTCATTCATTCATCCCTTCTACAGTCCATGTAAGCTGGACTTTATTATTCCTATTCTGTGGTCCCCAGAGCTAAAACGCAGAGAGGCTAAGTTCCTTGCCCGGGCTCACCCGGCTGTAGATATGCAGCACTGTCCTCTTTCATGTCTTTATGTGAACACTGCTGCTGAGTACCATCCAATGGAAATGCAGGCTCCTTAGGGCACCTGGGCCATTGGATCTGACCCTGTGTGGCTTCTGGCCCTTCCCCAAAGTCAAAATGAGTGGGTACAGTAAACATTGTCAATCACTTTACGACACCAAGCGAGCCAGGACAGCATGACTGAAGATACTGACGAAGGAGTACTTCCAGAACTGCTCCAGGAGGTGGCGAGAAGATGGGATAATTTGTTCAAAGTGAAGGGGAGGATCTGAGGGGATTATTGGCTTTTCTCCTTGAAACCTGCTCATGTTTTAACCTCATATGTGCACACCACCCTTTTACCTTGTATGATTGCAGGTGGGCATTTCCCTTCTCACCTAGCCAGGGCGTTTGAAAAGACAGTTCTGAGGCACCTGATCTCCAGGTGGAAAGGAGAGCTGTTCTCATCCTTCTGCAAGTGGCTCTGGGGCTCTGGGGAAGTTGGAGGGGTGCAGGCACCGAGGGACAGCTCTGGAAACTGAAGGGGTGCTTGGTGGCTGCAGCTGACTCTTCCCTTTCCTAATTAGGTTCTTTCCTTAGTCACGGGTTGAGGGACCTCCATGCCTCCCTGGTAGCTGGGGATGTGAGGCGCTGCTGAGGGCAGGCCTCTCTGTGTTCCACAGGAGGGGGTGATGTCCCTGGGTATTATTAGAGTGGAAGGGCAAGGCGGCTCCTGGCCTGGGTTCACTTCCTCCCACTCCCAGTCTCCTGGCTCCATGCGGTGTCAGGAAGAGCCCAATGCGTGGTAACTCAGGTGGCCCGTGAGGCAGGGGACAGCCTGACCTCTTGGAGCATCAGTTTCCAATGTGTGAAATGGGCTCCCAAGTTCTGCCCATAATGCAGGAAGTTGGGGAGACGGTGTCTGTACATCCACGGCCCCTTCCTGGCCTGATGTGGTGACAATTGACTTCCGGCAGCGCTGGAAGGTGAGTTTCCCTAGGCTCACGGTGCAGAGGGCAACGTTTCTCTTGACCCGTGGCGAGCAGTGCGTCATTCAGGAGGAGAGTGTGGCGGAAGACTGCTGGCCTGCTGGCCTCACGGCAGCTGGGAACTGAAGAGGAGAGGAAGGAGGCCTAGAGTCCCCATATTCCTTCCAGGCATGCCCCAGGACCCAACTTCTCCCAATGGCCCCATCTCTTAAAACTCCCTCTCCCCCACCAATGCCACAGGCTGGGGACCGGTGTTCCACACACAGGCCTCTTGGAGGACACTTTATCCAGATGACAGCAGGCATCAGGGGCCCACTCTTGGGCCTTCATGAACACGGAACGTGAAGACTTCCATCCAGTCACAGACATGGAGCTGCTGTCTGCTTTGGAGGGTGGTGGTACCCACAGCCAGGAGGGCACAGTGAGGACAGTCACTCTGATGCACGCTAAGCTGTGGGGAGCTGGGGAGACCAGGAGGAAAAGCATTACCCTCAAATGAGTGGGAAATGGAGGGACTGGAGCGTGGGGGAGGGGGAAGGAGAGAGAGGAAGTGGGACCGATTGCGTTTTATGGGAGGGCTACATTCTTGGGGACTTGACGGACTTCAGATCACTCATAATTCAGACTTTCCCCCCAGAGGCCTGTGTAAAGAGTATGCATGCCTGGACTCAGTCTCAGGCTGTGCGGTTCAGCGTCACCTCCAGCAGTGCTCAGGGGCTCGCTCCGGAACTGCCGGCCCAGGAGGCCACGATGGATGTTGGGCTTTCTCAGTAGCCACGTGGGTGGCTGTTTCTTTTGTTATCACATCCTCATCACAGTGTGTTTTCAATCCAGCACTAGCACCGCTGTCTGACAGACTGCGCAGGTCAAGGATCAGCAGATTTTGCAAAGGGTCAAGGGTTAGTGTTTTGGCTTTCAGGCTGTGTGGTCCCTTTGCAGCTAATCAGAGCTGCCTGGCAGCGAGAAAAGAGCGCCAGACAATCAATCCATAAACGCACAGGCATTTATGTGTTCCAATAAAACTTTATTTATAGACACTACCGCTTGAATTTCATTATTATGACATCATTTTCATGTGCCATTACATAGTCTTTCTCTTGGTTTTTGTTTTTTGTTTGTTTTGTTTTTTGTTCAGGTAAAAAATGTGACATAAACAGAGAGGGAGGAGATTTGGTTTGGCCCATGACTAGGTTCCTGATCCCTGGCCTAGATGACTATGATATTTAAAATTCTGTTAAATGAATAGAAGAATGAATGTTCAAATATCCTCATCAACAAAACTACTCATACATTCTTTTGCTAGAACTTATGAACTACACTTCTTTGAGCAAAAGATTGTGGGTCTTTATCAGCCTGGGTGGTACTGAGATACACACTTACTTTCACACAACTCGCAATTCTATAACTAGTTACTGTAATGAACTAAGAAATTTAAATTGTATTGTTTCAAAATGTTGGCATTCAGTGACTTTATGAATAGTCGGCTTCCATACCTGCCAGTCCTATAGATCTGAAGGAGTGCAGAATGAAAATATTCTGTAAAAATAATAGCAGCTAAGGGCCAGGGAATTTAGCTCAGTGGCATAAGCGCCTGCCTGGCAAGTGTGAGGTCATGAGTTTGACCCCCAGTACAAAAAAAAAAAAAAAAAAAAAAAAAAAAAAAAGCATTCTGTAGTGAATATAGACTTTTTCTTGTCCATTTCCTCTAAACAGTATCACTGAACAGCCATTCGCAAAGCATTTGCACTGTAGTGGGTGTTGTAAGTAGTTTGGAGTTTTTAAGCATACCAGAGGATGCATATAGATTGTGTGGAAATACACAATTGTCTAGAGGGCAAAATCCATGGGTTTTGTTGTCTGTGAGGAGCTCAAACAGGCCCTCCCGAGGAGACTGAGGGCTGACCTCCCTGTGTGACCTTGTCACTGGTGACTCAACGGTCTTCTCCAGCATTTGTTTATTATTTGTGCCAGTCTGCAGCCCAGCAGCCCTGTCTGACTCCCTGAGAGCTGATGGTCCTTGGTAAGGTGTTTGGAAATTGATTCAGCTGGAGTTTTTATGGTAAAATCCAGGGCAGGGGGCACTGAAGGAGCACCATCTTGTGCCTGGCACATGGTGAAAGTGGGACAGACTTGTTCCTTCTCTTCCCTTTCCTCTTCTCGCTCAAAAGTTCTGTGTATTTGATCAGCTCCAAAACATGCTGAGCCTCTTTTGAATTGTTGCTTTGGTTCTTTCCACATGCAATAAAGTCACTAACCTTTTTAAATGGAAACAAAAACAAAGGCTGTTAGAAAGCGGTTTCCCCTCCCAGGTCACCCGGCTCTCATTTTGGAGAATAAGCAGCACTGTGCTGAGCCCAGAGGCCGGGCCAGAGGCGAGGCCAGGCCTAGGGAAGGCAGCTCCAGCTGGGTGAAGACCCTGCTCTCCAGCCAGGAGGGGAACGCCCGGCCGCTGGCTGCTCTGCATTCCACAGCTCCTGGGTGTATCTTGCTTTCAGGGATTCCAGCAGAAGGAAAGCCAGGATCCTCTCCAGATGGAAGACCACCAGCCCCTAAGGTGACTGAGATGCTGTGGTTCTTGGCTCTCGTGTGTGCTTTTGCTGTGTGTGTTGGATGGAAGGCCCATCTTGAGCAGACGATGTTTGTGTTGTTTAGGGGGGCGATGGAGCATGGCCATGTGTACTTGCTGGCCTGGGGTCTGGCAGGATGTGAAGGGAGGCAGCTGCTCTCCTTTGGCCAGGGGATGTTTCATTATTATGTTGGGCTGGCATTCCTCCTGTGGTCTTTGGTTTATAGACATGTGCTCTTGGAGATGAGTGTTGCATCCCAAGTTTGCCATTAACTTGTCATTGACCTCCTGCAATCCATTGCCCATATCTGGGTCACTAATTCTTCATCCCCAAATGAATGCAGATTGCCTAGATCATTTCTGAAAGACTGTTTCTCTATAGGGTCACATGGAGAGCCCAGGGCTCCACTCCCAAACAAAAACAACAAGATGTGCCTTTTACCTCCCACTCTGGTGCTCAGAAGAGGCCCAGTGATTGGATAGTTAGGACTCCTACTGCCACACAGCCGAAATGAGGCCACGAATCTCCCTCACATTCTTCCATGGTGCCAGAAACAGCTACCCATGGCCCCCTAGTAAAGCACTCCGACCTTCCCAGACAGTGGTATGGGAAGTAATGACAACTTCCCTTTCCTTCTTGGTGTCAGTGGAAATCAAATGAGGTACCTGGACTTCTGTCCCCACTTGGCTACAGTGTGATAGGCACCCCTCACCCTGCTGCTGTGGCATCGGAGGAAGCCAGCTGATATGGAAGGTTTAAGCGCCATCTAAGTACCTATAAGACACCTAAAATGTCCAGGTATCTGTACAAAGTCTGTCATCACAGGAAAACAGGAAGCTCTCCAAACTGCATGAAAAGAGGCAAACAGTGGAGGCCAATACCGAGATGACAGAGATGTGAGAATTTTCTGACAAAGGTTTAAAAACTGCCATCGTAATATGACTACTTCAGTGAGCAATTACGAATATACTTGAAGCAAATAGAAAAATAGAAAAAATAGAAAAAATATCAGCAGATGGGTCTTACTGACTGACTGACTGATTGATTTTTGGTACTGAGGATTGGACCCAGCACCTCATATATGCTGGGTCAGCACTCTACCACTGAGCAGTATCCCTAGACCTGGAAATTTTCTTTTTAAATATTTAAAAGAGAGGCTGGGGATTTAGCTCAGTGGCATAAGCACCTGTCTTGCAAGCAGGTGGTCATGAGTTCGATCCCTCATTCCAGAAAAAAGAAAAAAAAATATTTAAAAGAAAATTCATCGTAAACTAACAACTTATACCAACTTATGAGTTACAAAATGAAGTTATAATTTATGAATACTAGGTGTGATCAAAAAATATGTGTGCTTAAATAAAAAATTCATTACTGTGAAAGACGCGTTGCCATGAATTGCCCTCAAAATCCTCACCATCTCTTCAAGCACACTTAACCCGTTGTTCTTGCTACTTTCTGAAGCAGTTCTGGAAGTCTTCCTTCCTGTTTTTAGTTGTACAGTCATGGGTGCCTCCACGTCCTGAGTCAGGTCAAAACGTTGACTTTTCACGGTCATTCTGACTTTGGGGAAGAGCCGGGAGTTACTCGGTGCCAGATCTGGCAAATAAGGTAGAGAAGGACACCCCAAGCCTACCTACACTCCTCGAGGGTGGTACTCACTGGCAGCAGTGGACACATACCAGGAGGCCTGCAGGGCTGCTCCAGAAACTGGAGAGACTGATGGGACCAGTGTGCTTGAAGTGACAGGGAGTATTCTGAGGGGGACTGATAATGATGTGTTTTCTACTGTCACATTTTAAAAAATTTCAACATTTAAGGTACTTTTTTCATTTTTGATACTGTGTAGACTATGACTTAAACTCATTAATAATCTTTCCTGTCCAATGCCACTGTTTGTAGTAAGAAATCTGATATTTACTCTCTTGGCAATTGTAAAGTGTGCCATATACCATCAGTAATTATACTTACTGTGTGAGAGAGTAGATTTAAAGCTTTTCTCCCTGCCTGAGGCTTTGTGCCCTTTGGCTTCATCTCCCGAGGGCCCTCCCCACAGCATCCATAACCACCATGCTGTTCTCTGTGTCTGTGAGTTCAATTGTTGGAGATTCCACCTAGAGTGAAAATATGTATTTGTCTTTCCAGGCCTGGGCTATTACACTTAGTATAATATTCTCCAGTTCCATGGGTGCTTCTGCAAATCACAAGACTCTTTATTTTTTTAGGCTGGTTAGTACTCCATGGGGTACGTGAGCCACATTTTCTATTTTTATCCCTCAGTGTACTTCACTGGACTCCTGACTTGGTCGTCGTGGGGAATGCAGCAGTGAACGCACAGGTGCTCACATTTCTGGGACGAACTGAATACAAGTCTTTTGCATTTATGCCCACCGGAGGATCGTCGGGTCAGGCAGTAATTCTGTTTGGGTGTGCTGACTACATTCCTGTGAGCAGCCTGCAAGGGTTCCCTTTTCTCCACATCCGGCTGCAATGCTGCTTATCTCTAGTCTCCTGATAACAGCCATTCTGACACGTGAGGGATGACATTTCATTGAAGTTTTGTTCCATGTTTTCCTGACACTCACTGCATTTGTCTGGATGCTGCTTGGGGCGAGACTGAAGGAAATGGCATGAAAAGAAAGGTTATCTGGGAGCAGAGAGGAAAACTCTCTGGCTAGCGGTTGGGCCTACGGCCCAGGGAGAAGGGATCCCAGAGGCCTGCAGAAGCTCTGTGGCTTCTTCACCTGGGGACAAGCTCGGTGAAGCTGGTGGCAGATCCCCTCATTCTGCTTGGATGCATCGGCAGAAGACAGGAGGGCAGTGCTGAGATGCTGGCCTTGCAAGGGTCATGAGCCAGGGCACCGCATTCATTAGTGAGGGCTGTGCCGTTCTGACGTTTCTCTAGACTGGTTTGGGTCCAGGGACAGAAGGACAGTAGATTTGTGTGATTTCAAGGAAGAGGGCCTAGAGACAGCTTGGTTCTTTCCAGGCCCTGTTGCCTCTGTTGTCTTCCTTGACCCCTGGGTGCCCTTTGACCCTGATGACCCCTCTCTGGAGCTCCGTGGAAACATTTCCATGAGGGTTGATCTGTGCTATCATGATCTTTTAATCAGCACACGCACCTGACTTCAGCTTGACCTGAAACTGCCGGTACCTCATGGAATTGTGTCAAGGACACGAGAGCAATTTGCTGGGTTTCTCCTCCATTCTGCAGGCCTCTCCAGGGCCTTTCCACATACAATGCACAGCAGCACTTGCTACAGATCATTGACTAGATTTCTATCACTTAAAAAAATAACGACAGAACTCAAACTCAGAAGCAGCCGAACAGCAGAGTAGAAAAAGGCAAATCTTTTCCCCCGACACTCAAAAGCAGCAAGGGCGAAACGCCTCGCTGCCTGATATGTGGTGGCTGCTGCTGCCTGCACCAGGGTGCATTCTGGAGGGGCAAATGCAAGGGGGCTCCAGAAGTATCCTGGACCCCAGGCCAGAGCTCTCCAGGATGAGCGGAGCAGAACACGACTCACACACACGTCCCATGACTGGAGCCTGGGCTGCAGCCTGTATGCCGAGCATCAGGCGAACGGAGCCAGCAGCTCTTCGGAAATGCACCTTTGATGCCTCATGTCAGGAGACCCATGCACTGATACAGGGTAGCACCAAGACAAGCCATTCAGCAATCAAGGCAACCTGGGTTCAAATTATGCTGTTGCCACTTGTTAGTTGTGCAACCCTGGGCTTGTGGCCCTACTGTTTGTAGCCCTAGTTTCCTTTGCTATAAAACAGAATAATGATAGCACCAGCTCCATAGGGTCTCGAGAATCAGTTAAAACAGTGTTTGGAACATGTTTAGCACAACCTGTCCCATATTATTCTCCTTAATACGTGTTACTTTTTGAAATTCCTAGTCCTGGCTTTTGCTCCTAATTAGTCATGATATCTTGTGCTGCAACCTTAATCATTTGCATGTCCGTTTAGTCACCTTTGAATTGTGGGCACAAAATGACATCTTGCTTCCTGGGAGTCTTCTGCCCTCTTTCCTCTGCAGGGCAGTATTGCTGTAGGACTAAGCTGGTGGATAGAACATGAGCAGCAGGGATTTAAACTACTTCGTGGAGTTGCTAGCTTGATCTTCTGTGTTTTCTTTTACTTTTGTTGTTGTTGGCTTGTTTTTTGAGACGGTGTCCTGCTATGTAGTCCAGACTGGTTTTGAGCCCACTAAGTAGCCCAGGCTGGCCTTGAACTCACAATGATCTTCCTGCCTCAGGCTTTAGAGTGCTGAGATTATAGGCAAGCACTATCATATCTGACCTTGTTTGGTTTTTGAGATAGGGCCTCACTAAGTCCAGCCTGGCCTGTAGTTACTTTGCTATAGAGCCCAGGCTGGCCTCAAACTCACAATTCCCCTATCCTCCTGTCTCAGCCTCCCCAGTGCTAGGATTAAAGCTCTGGAACCCAACTAGGCCTCCAGGCATGCCCTGTTTGTTCCCTGGGTGGAAACATCCAGCCAAGGCTCTGAGGCCTGAGACACAGATGGAAAGAGACTGGGTCCCTGTGTGACTAGGTACAGTGTCCTTGACATAAGACAAGGAGTCGAACAAAATCTCTTTTATTGTGCTAAGCCACTGGGGGGGGGATTTTTTTTACAGTAGTTATCACACTTTGCCTAAATATCTACCAGTCTAGGAGAGTTAATACTTCATTGCAAATGAAGTTTGCAGTAAGTGATGTTTATTTCATCCAGTACTTATTAAGATTTTGGGTTGAATCATTCCGTTTGAAAACAATCTATGTGTATTTGGTGAATGGATATATAGTACTTGCTCTCTGTGAGTTTGTTCTTTTACGGTTAATGCAGCTGGCACACCCTCTTTCCTTCACACACACACACACACACACACACACGTGCACACAGATGTACAGAAGGGTTTGCTGGAGGTGAAAGAGGTTGTGTGTAGGTAGCAGGATATGCACTTTGTATCATAAGGAA